TTGAAGATTATTTGAAGATGAGCCTCTGTCGAAAACAGCTTTGACATTTCCATCAGGGAAAGAAATAATTTGACCAATTGATCTCGTAAGAGCAGGAATTAGAGTTTGAGCATTTTCAAAATTTCATCCAAGTCCTCTACATTGAAGATTCCATGGTATCCTTTTAGGAATCGTGGCGTTTGAATGAAAGATGATTGATCTCCACAAGAAGATTTTTTTCTCTAGGAGATGAGTGAATAGCCCCAATATTGAGTTGAGTATTTGTCTCTGAAAATCCCATTAGTATTTTCGTAATTTCTTTCTAGTATGATTCGCCATTCAAAGTGAATTAGAAATCTAACTCAAAGGGTTACAATTCTTCTAGAAATATCATATTTCGAATTCAAACATTTAATTTGCAAAAAATGGTTCTCAATCTGAAGCTAGAAATTGATTTGTGAAAATTCTTTGACTATTTCACTCCACTGAATTCTAGTTGCATCCAACTAATCTCTGGTGTGATCTTCAAATCCTTAAAAACTAATCACACCAGAGATTAGTTGGATGCAACTAGAATTCAGTGGAATGAAATAGTCAAAGAATTTTCACAAATCAATTTCTAGCTTCAGATTGAGAACCATTTTTTGCATAGTAAATGTTTGAATTCGAAATATGAAATTTCTAGAAGAATTGTAACCCTTTGAGTTAGATTTCTAATTCACTTTGAATAGCCAATCATACTAGAAAGAAATTACAAAAATACTAATGGAATTTTCAGAGACAAAAATACTCAACTCAATATTGGAGCTATTCACTCATCTCCTAGAGAAGAAAATCTTCTTGTGGAGATCAATCCTCTTTCATTCAAACGCCATGATTCCTAAAAGGATACAATGGAATCTTCAATGTAGAGGACTTGGATGAAATTTTGAAAATGTTCAAACTCTAATTCCTGCTCTTACGAGATCAATTGGTCAAATTATTTCATTCCCTAATGGAAATGTCAAAGTTGTTTTTGATAGAGGCTCATCTTCAAATAATCTTCAAATACTTGATTCTTCTAGATCTAAAAATAGATCTGAGAACTTCTTTCAAAATTCTCGATTTTCATCTTCTTCTGATAAATTTAAAGGAGTTGATTTTACTCCAAACATTCCAAAAACTCAATGTGCATCATATAAAGATGAATCGGAATAGACCTGGTTCGCCAACTTTATCTGATATGCTTTCGAATCCTGCTAAAAGGTTAGATCAACAATGTAATGTTATTTCTTCTATAATAGATAGAGAAAAAATGAATTTAAAGCTGATCAAACTCTTTCAGTCAAATGTTTTCGTACAACTTTTTTTATCAATGTTTCCAAAAGATGAAATTAAATCTTCATGGGAAGAATTTTATGATTTTCGTGAAGATATAAGTTTTTATGAATGAGCATGTTTCAAAGTATTTGGCAAAAGAATTTCAAAAACTTCCATTCAAAATATCTATGTCAATAAACAAATATGGAAAACTCTTCTAGTCAAAAATTTCAATATGAACATTCTCCAACGCAAGAAATAGTTGTTTCCCATAGAAACATCGAAATAATTGCGTCCCCTATTAGATAACTCCTAGCTGATAGATCAGAGGAATATGATACTAAGGCAAAAGATATAAAAAATATTCAATCTCAAAACAATTATACCATTATTGTTCTTCAATCTATGTGTTCTCAATTATCTAGAATCGAAGCTAATTCTGATTCCGAGGCTTCTTCATCTAAGAAAGATGAAAAGAAATGCCCTTCAGGTCCCCAACTTTCTCCAAATGAAGAACAATATCATGGGATCCAAGGGAGTGCTGTAAGATTATTTTTATTTCTGTTCAATTGTTTTCAAATTGTGGTCACAGTTCACTTAGTACTGGTCATAGTTCAATTCTCATGGTCACAGGCATCTTTTATAAGGTCATATTTAACTATTTATCTTAATCATGTTTACAGGTGCTTCACGATTTGAATGCACAACTTTCAGAACTTAAGTCACAGAATAAAGTATTAACCGTGGAGATGGACGCCATCAAGTCATAGATGTAGAGCCTCAACTCTGATCAGGCAAAAAAGATGTCTGAAATCATCCTAATACAAGACAGTTAAAACATGACATGATCGAGATTAGGACGAACATGCAATTCCTGTCTGAATTCATGACTGCAATGATCTCAAGCTCCATGGATGAGATATTAAGGCGATTCAATGATAGGAAAGGTTGTCCAGTTAATGAGTATGAAGACACGGAAGTTGCTGTCGAAGGATTCGAGAAGATCGACGAGGTAGGTACATGATATGTTCAATCTATCTATCACTGAACATAGTTACAGATTTCATGTCTGAAATTCTCCAATTTCACATTCAGGTGAAAAAACTGCAACATGTTGTCGACAGGAAAGGGAAGGGGAAGGTCGACCCAACTGAAGATGTTGCCTTTCCAAGTAGTCTTGAATCGCCATCATTTGACCTGGGTATCGAATACACACAACCAGATGATTTGGAGTCTTCAGAAATTCAAAAGCAAGTAGATGCTGTCATATCTGATGTGATCACAGCATCCCAAAATGTTGATGAAGAGGTATTCAAATTATTTTTTTTTAGTGTCATATGCTAGTCACACAATGTGTACATCGAATTTATGTAAACTAAATGTGACCTTTACAAGTCACAGGGATCACCAACTACAGAAGCGGCATCTGCATTACCAGTTAAGCGGGCTTCAAGGCCTGCGAGGATACTGCGATCCCCATTTGTTGTTAGGAAAGGAAAGGTACTGCGGCATGACGGTAATGTTATTGTATTTGAAAATTATAAAGATCATGTTGATGAAGCTGATAAATCAGCATTCTTGGGTTGGTTTCAGAGAGGGCATAAACCCAAAAATAGGCATGTACATGTTTCTTATATTTTCAAATACACTGGTCACACAATTACAGTATCTTGACAGTCAACTTTTGGCAACAGGAAAAAGTTTAATGAGCAAGATGACCAAATCAAACCAGCCTTTAGTATTGGCTTATACCCTGTCGATCACAAGACATGGTTCTATCAGTTGATAAATGCAGAAACGTCTTTAAGCGGCTCGGTATGGTAACGCTTATCTATCTGTTCACTACACATTTCCTTGTTAACCAGTCACACAACATTAAGAACCTCATACAACACTATGCACATACTGCTGAGCAGCCCACTGCCATAGAGTCATAACTTTTCATGTTCAAACAGCACATGGATGCATGCTTCTACTATATTCGCCAGGTAGTAAAATTTGGGAAAGTAAAGTTAAGAGCTACAACGACGGACTCGTGGTTCCAGAACAAAATAAAAGATATATTTCCCGCTTTCCAAAAAGACCTTCAAGTTCTGTTGTCGGAGAGCAGCATGATTAAGGCTGTCACAGGTCGTTTGATATCCCTAAGCACATCTTGGGCCGATGTAGACAATGCGTTCATGCCACTCCTGCCCATGAACAAAGCTCACTAGATGCTAGGTCTGGTAGAATTTAGAAGTCATACTTTGATGCTGCTCAATTCAGCTGGAAAAACTTGTCGTGATTGGAATGTGCTGGAAGGTATTGAACCCTATGTGAAGGTATTGCCTGCTCTTATGAAAGCGTTGGGAATTTCCAAAAAAGACCCCGATTACAACGAATCTGAATGCAAGCAAATGAAGGTGACCATTGACAGTACCCTACCTCAGCAGACGAATGGGTAAGTATGTGACCAACTACAGCAGTATAACTTGTAAATTAATTAATTCATAACATACTATAATGTGTGCTTTTACAGTCATGATTGCGGGGTGTTCGTGATATTGTATGCATTGTATATCCTCCGTGATGGCAGATGTGCTATTCCCCATAAGTTCGATGCTACAAAATGTAGAATTGATATCACCTCATTACTCTACAAACACCGAGAACCTTACGTGAAGAAGGTGAGGCAGGCTTTTAAAAGGGAGGGGATTGTAATAGAATGACAATTATGAAAATATTTGTAAATGAGTTTTATGCTTCAGTTGGTAGCATTTTATATTTCTTTCAAGCAATGGAGGTGTTTGTACATGATACTGTCATGTGGATGTGAATATGCTTTTGCAATACATGGGTGCCCCAACCTTCATTTGTTAATATGTTGTTGCTTGGATACACGGTTGTGCTTTTGGTATATGATTTATTTTTTAATGCCGTGTGTAAATTAGTTCACATATCAATAGTACCAGGTCACAGATTTAATATTACATTTTGTGGGAGTTACTTTGGCATGACATATTTCGATAACAGGTCACATGTGATATACATAGCAAGTCACGAATTTAGCACGCATAATATATGATGCAAAGATCAGGTCACAGGTCGTACTGTACCTCGAACATTAGGTCACAGTACCAGGTCACTGATTTAGTATTGCTTTTGGTCGACGTTTCAGTTTGTCATTACATATGTTAATAACAAGTCACATAGTAAATAATAGGTCACATACCTGGCCACTGATTTGGTTGTGATTTTGGTCACAGTTTTTGTTTGCTATGGCATATGTCAAGAACAGGTCACATATCAATTACAATAGCCTGTCAAGAGTTGATCACAGTTCATTTTATTTATGGAATTTGTGACCTGGACATATATTTGTTCTCCACCACGTTTAGGCCACATTTCATGCCTTTAAGTGAATTAATGGTCACAATTCAAATATATTGCTGTGTATGGAATCTATAATCATAAATTTACAAAACTCTATGTTCAACTGAATAAAAAGTGCAGATGTAATTCATTTATCATTTATTACCTTACTATTTACAAATTATTTGTCAATTGATCAATTGAAACACATGTCTACATGTTGGTATGCTAAAAAGAATTCAAGAATGCGACCTAACTTTGATAAGTCTTTATCATGTATTGACTTCCTATCAACCGTTCTTACTTAATGAGACCAAACTTGAGCACCTCCTGGGGTTGTGACCATGTACACCACAACGTCCACATCTTACTTATGGTTTTCCTTCCCTAGATAATCTCTTCCTCTTCTCAGTAGGTCTTCCAGAACTCCGCTTTTGGTTAGGAGCTAAAACAATTTGGAATTCTACTTCATCGGGCACTCTCCACTCGTCTGGATTTCTAACAGGATATACCGAACTTTCGTAAGCATTTACATATGCATCCTTTGTGTAATAATAGGAACAGTAAGAATATGCATCCCTTTTCGTATGTGCGATTACAGCCAATGCATGTGGACAAGGCATCAAATCGACCTGCAGGATCCTGCAAGTGCATGTACGTTGCTCAATGTCAACAACAAATGTGGACCTTTCATCGCTCACGGAGAACACTGTTTGGTTGGAAGGAGATACCTGTGAGAGTGTAATAGCACCAATGTTATGTGTTAGTTTAAACTCAAAAAAGAATAGGTCACAGACATTCATATCTTAGTGCACAATGGTATGTTCAGGTCACAGGACTTCATACTCAGGTCACAGGTTTAGCACTAACATACAAATTATATATCACGACAAAGTACATAGCGTCACATACGTAAATTAGTGGTCACATGAAATTAATATTTGGACACATAAGCACATACGTACATTCCATGTCACAGACACCTATGATATAATCACATGCATATTTCTGTTTAGTCCACATACACAAACTTCAAGATACATAAGAACCTTACCCTCAAGTTCCTTAATTCTGAACTCATTCTCCTCATGACGCTCTCGAACTTGCTAGTCAACATCGTGAAAGTTCCATGCGCTTCGTCTCTATGTTTATAGAACCAATTTTGTACTGTTTGTTGCAATGACTCCAGCAAGAATACAATGGGGTAATTCTTAGCTGCCTTTGTGATCGCGTTTACTGATTCTACAATGTTTGATGTCATTGTAGAGTATCTATTTGCCGACATATGTATTCGTGACCACTTTTCAGGGCCTACTTCATCCTGCCAAAATATATCGTAGTATGAGAATAGTATAAAAGGATATATGTGACCACTTCACTGCATGTGATAATGCAGTACTGTAGTTAGTACAGTACCAGGTAATCACGAATCTTATCATTCATTGTGTCCAGTTGTTGCATGTTGTATTCAAATTCTTCTAATGTGTAAGCCCGGACAGCCGAATTGAAAGCCTGCGTAATATTTTGCCCTGATTTCCCATAATATGATTTGAGATTCTGCAGCAAATGGTACGAGCAGATACCATGGCAACTTTCCGGATGCAGCTGTTCTATTGCTTTCTTTATACTGCCATGACGGTCCGATACAAAACACAATCCTTCTCTATGCCCATATGCATTTTTCAGTTTCTCCAAAAACCATCTCCAAGATTTGTCGTTCTCATTAGGCCATTATTTGCATCCTGTGTACATGCTGTGAATAGAGTACCTTCGTAATGACCATTCAAATAAGTACCATCAACGACAATTACGAGCCTACAATGTTGCTACCCCTGTATTGATGCACCGAGTGCCATAAAACAGTACTTGAACCTATTGTGACTATTGACCTCCAACTCTGTGACCGTACCAGGATTTCTTTGTCAAACCATGTAGAAGAAACTTGGTATCCTACCGAATGATTCCGTCGAATCATCCCTAATCATCTTCAATGTTTGTTCACGGGACCTTCAAGCTTTTGAGTAACTCAAATATACTCCAAACGTATGTAGCATATCACTGCATATGTCCTTTGGTGTGTATATGATGCCAGCCGATGTGTACTTGTACTTGATGCTAGATGACACAATTGCAGTTGATACTTGTCTGTGTGACCCCAACACCACATTTGATGCACATGTGTGACTGCCAATCTTTCGAATCTTAAATAGATTCGTTTTACCCCATTTTGACGATCGGCATATCCAAGTACATCCTTCATGAGAACACCTCACCACATATTCTTTCTTGTCGGATCGTTCAACCATAAACTCAAACATGTTTCGTATGGCAAAAAACGATAGGCTCAATTTTAAAATATCCTTATCATGGAAAATCCTGCCTTCTTCGACCTAAATAGCATCTGCTATAGAAACAATCGTGACTTCATTGTCACAAATGTGACCTAAATGTTTACTTGATGCTTCACAAATTTCTGTGGCCACATCCTGCAACGTATAAAGCTCACTGTTACGATAAGCATTATCTGTGACCATGTCGGACGGGTACTCTATTGCTGCATCAATTATGTCAATGATTAATGGGTATTTAGCTAGATCACGATCGACTTCTTTCAACAGAATGTATGCAAGCACGTTGCAGTCATTTTTTATCCTGATTGCAGGCAAATCGTCGTTGAGTATATACTTCAATGATACTGCTACCTTGATCGAATCCAAGCTGAACTCTGACATAATCATGTTTATAAGGTTTATATAACTGCATCCACGGTCTACCAACACCAAAGCTGACTGAGATCCATGCAACAAACATACGTGCAAGTACACCATTTCTGCAAAATTGAACTTCAAAGCATCACATTCTCGATGGTTAATTTAATACTGTGCATACAGTTTTATTTTAAGAATTTATGCAATAACATGAAGTCACTACTGACACGAAAAATGCAGGTCACATTTGGCGACACACAGGTCACATCTCATGAACAAAATTGGTTTCATTCTCTTCTCCAATTCACTCTTCTCCAATCTGCTCACACGTTCACTTATGTGACATGCGTACGAATACTGTTGTGTCGAGTGGTCATATTTTGGTCAAATATTGGATCATATTTTGGTCAAACATCGGAATAGGTCACACACGGGTATGATCAGTGGTAATATAATATAACATGTCTTACAGATAATCAAAAATAAATTGAGGTCACATTTTTTTCACAGCAGTCACATTCAATCGACCACATTTGTTTTAGTGCTCACAGACATCCACAATCGATGCTACACTTGTCTACGACTGGTTACACTCAATTAAGTCACATCTCATGCATGTTGTTCATGTCCCACTGCACAATATTATTGAATTTGAGACATATGTGGCAACGATAGATACGGACGCTGGAAATTTGTGTACAGAAGAAATTTGGAACTAATCTGATGATGCTAATTGCGAAAAAGGAAGGAGTGCAATAATCGGACCAATACCTGGATTGATTTCTGCTATGCGAAAATGTCAATTTCTCCAAGACGATCCCAAATCTGTGATACAAAAATGTCAATGTCGATGAATTAGGGTTCTACAGTGTCCGGATTGAAATTACTCTGGATGTATTATTTTTGATGATGATTTTGTAGCGGTAGAGACGTTTTATTGATGGAAATGGTGTTAAGTATACACCTTATATATGAATTTTTCCCTTATTATCTATTTTAATTCTTGACTACGTAGCTAATTTCGTTCTTGCATTCTTGACAATCGACAATTCCATTATAATTAATTTTCTTTTCCACGACAAATTAAATATATCCTATTCAAGACCTAATCCTATTCCTAGTCCAAATTCATATGAATAAAATGCATTCAATTTCATAATTATCTCAAAGATTGCACATGTGTATCATCTTATTCCTAAAATTTATTGCACGTATGTTAATCATGCAATGTTCTAAACCTATTGTGTGCTTCCAAGCACTACAACAAGCAACCATATATTTAATTGACGATCAAGCAATCAAATAATAAAATTGTGCATGCAAGATTAATCAAGAATTGCAAGAATTTAACTAAATCACGTGTCTTGAATTAAAAAGTAACGGGTTTCATCTTCATCCAATACATGAGAAAAATTAGCCTAACATAAGATTGGAATTAAACACATAAAATTGGAAAGACACCACCAAGAAATTGACGGAACGTGATTAATATCCAAATTCTTGCGGAAATTGTTGATGGACTATTATACAAAGAATCTGAAATTCTTTCTTCGACTGCTTTCTGTCAGTCTCCAATTTTGTGCGTATGGTCAGCCCATTTCCTCCTCTAGTAGTGGCCCAATGCTATGTTTCTATGTGTATGTATATTGCAAATTCAGCCCAATCAACAGCTCCAATGTTTGTATAATTTCAACCAATTGCCAACCCCTTTTGTGGTTGTTTTGTCCCTCAATTTCCCAGCAAATTCTGTGCCCTTTTTCTCTCCAAATCGCTGGCCAATGTTATTTATGTGTGTGTGTGTGTGTATATATATTAACCAACAGTAGGTCAACCTTTGTTCTCTCTCCCTAGTCGCAATTCCTCTTTTTTTTTCTTTTTTTTTTTGTAGGTTTCTCTGCCAATATACCGGTGTATCTCTCTCTAATTCAGTCTCAAGTAGCCTCCTTTTATAGGGTTTAGTCTCCCAATTGAAGTGAAATTCCAATTGCTCTTCTTCTTTTTTTTTCCAGATGGCAGTCGCCTTTTTAGGGTGTATAAAATTCAACTAAATAAAGACCTTGATTCCAATTCCAACTCCAATGGAAGCCCAATTAATAAATTATATTTCTCCAAGTCATTCAACCTTTCAAATTAAAGCAATTAAATCCTTCAATTTTTAACACGTGGAGTTTGATCCCAAAATTGCAATTTTATCAAATTTTCGTCCTCTTTCCCTCCAGTTGCTTCCAATGAGTTTATCTCTAAAAACAAAAGAAAATTAACCTAAGTTAAATAAAAATTAATAATTTGATGACTTAAAAGATTAATAAATGTAGCCTAAATAAGTGCATAAATGACACGTATCACTTGTTCCATGCAACATAGACATTCAATCAAAATTAGGAAGAATGCACGAAAAAGGTGATAGTTCAAGTCCTATTATCAAATATGTATTCACATAGAAAAATACACACCAATTTTAGAAACTTCATGCAGTCTCCAAACAACTTTTGACATCTTCACCACAACCTAAATAAGAAGGATGCACAAAATTCCCCTTTACATGCATGCTTATACTTTTCATCTTTCATGCATCTATCAAAAAACTAGTCCTTGTGACTTGAAAAAGGAAACAGATTCACACGTATATGTAATAAATCCAGAAAACATACCTCAATCAAAAAAGTCTAATTTTTGTTCCCCAAGTAACACCTCATATTTTGTAATATTTGAAGGAACTTCTGTGAAAGCTAAGGATAAGCACGCTATGGAATACTAATTACTCGCCCCTCGTAAGTCATAACATTATATTCAAATATTCCAATAAACTAAGTGCATGTATGGCTTAGCTGAAATACTAAATAGATAGTTATAAACATGCATCTTTTGGAGTTGCCAAGAGACCAAAAATTTTAGCCAATTTTGACAAAAAAATAAAAAAAAGCCACAGAATAAAAAGGAGCCTTGCTTGTACAAGGAAGCAAAGTTAAACATTCTCATAGAAATTTGCCCCCAACAAGAAGAGTGTTTTATTATGACATTATAATTCCTAGAATCTATTTTCCCATTTCCCCATTTTACTTGTTTGAAGCAGTTTAAAAAACACCACCACAGTTTCCAAATGATGAGATTGGAGCAGTCAAACCAAAAAATGTATTGGCTGGCAACAGGGCATCTCATTGAAACCTTTATTTCCCTGTTCTCAAAAGTTCAAAATTATGGTCTAACAACCTTCGTTGACAACACTTTTGGGTATTCCTTATTTTGAGTATTCCGTTAAATTTCAATTATTCATGTTTGAGAATTTCTTGACTCTAAAGCTTTGTGTAAATATATAGATATCTGCCACGGTCATCCAATAAAGAACATCCAAAAATTAGGTTTAGTCCTTATATAAGTGTAGATGGCAATAATTTCTTCAGAACGCCAACTAGCCCACTCAAACCTAACCAATTTCTTGAAGAGAAAAGATGGCCTCCACGACAATTTGTCAATGTGAAAATATGACAAAATGGTTCCTATGTCTAACACAACAGCTGGACAATACAAGTCAAGCATCATATCAGAAACATGATAGACCTCCTATACACTTCACATACACAAGAAGAGGAAAGAATGAAGCAAGGCAACCAAGTCAATCGACATTCCAGAATATTCCACCAAGTCAGTAGTAATAGTGATAGTTTATGTCTATAAAATGTGATAGAGAGAAAGAGGAAAGGAGGCATTGTTTGAGTGAGTCTTATAGTTGGAGGGAATCCAGGTCTCTCGAAACACCTGGAGGTTGTAGTTTGTTATTCAGCTTCAATAGAATGTGAACTTCTAAATTCAATTCTTGCATTTAGCTTCATCATTACCCAATTTTCGTTCATTACTCATCGCAGCTTGAGTTTGACAGTTTCACTAGTTGGGACTATCTAATTGGTATTAGAGTGGTCGATTCATGGGGAGTATGTTGGAGAAGATGGTGATGTAACAGAAAGGAGAGTGAGCCGTTGATTCAAGGTTGGATTCATGTGGCTGACTTAACACACAGATATTCTATGGGGATAATTTAGATTTTCGTGGATGTTTGAGACAGAGCGATGCATGAACATGAATCGCAGCTTACCAAAGAGGGAAAGGTAGAGGCAGCAGTAGCTTGTTTCCTTGAAGAGGCTTGGGCATAGTTTCAAGAGATGGACGATCATTGTCCGATGCAGACCTCAGAAGAATTGAAGATGGTGTTGTCTCAATTCCGCGTGAATAACCTCTCTGGTCAAGAAGTGCCTACGGAACAGCATAAGAG